GGGGGTGAGCGCCGGAACCTTCCGGAGCGTCGGGGTGGTTAGGGAGGGAGGAGTTCTGGTTTGCCCGGATTTTTTTCCCATTTTTCTTTGGGTTTTCCCGTTAATCCTTGGGTTTTGCCATTCTTTTCTTGGGTTTTCCCGTTTTTCCCCTATTTTTTCCTGATTTTTCCCTGGGTTTTCCCATTTTTCCTTGGCATTTCCCATTCTTTCCTTGGGTTTTTTCCATTCTTTTCTTGGGTTTTCCCATTTTTCCCCTATTTTTTCCTGATTTTTCCCTGGGTTTTCCCCTTATTCCTTGGGGTTTCCCATTCTTTTCTTGGGATTTCCTATTTTTCCCCATTTTTCCTTGGGTTTTCCCATTTTCCTTGGGTTTTTTTCAGTTTTTCCTTGGGTTTTTCCATTTTTCCTTGTGTTTCCCCATTCTTTTCTTGGATTTTTCCATTTTCCCCCATTTTTTACTGATTTTTTCTCATTTTTCCTTGGGTTTTCTCAGTTTTCCTTGGGTTTTCCCATTCTTTTCTTGGGTTTTCCCAGTTTTCCCCATTTTTTCCTGATTTGTCCAATTTTTCCTTGAGTTTTTCCATTTTTCCTAGGGTTTTCCTATTTTTCCTAGGGTTTTCCCATTTTTCCTTGGGTTTTTCCATTTTTTCTTGGGTTTTCCCATTCTTTTCTTGGGTTTTTCCAATTTTCATAGGGTTTTTCCCATTTTTCGTTGGGTTTTTCCCATTTTTCCCCATTTTTTCCTGATTTTTCCCATTTTTCCTTGGGTTTTCCCATTTTTCCTTGGGTTTTCCCATTTTTCCTTGGGTTTTCCCATTTTTCCTTGGGTTTTCCCATTTTTCCTTGGGTTTTCCCATTTTTCCTTGGGTTTTCCCATTTTTCCTTGGGTTTTCCCATTTTTCCTTGGGTTTTCCCATTTTTCCTTGGGTTTTCCCATTTTTCCTTTTTTCCTTGGGTTTTTCCTTTTTTTTTTTTTTTGATTTTCCCATTTTTCCCATTGATTTTCCCCCATTTTTCCCAATTTTCCCGTGTTTTCCCCCATTCCAGCTCCCCGTGGACAACCCCATCATCTCCCAGGACGAGGTCATTTCCCCATTTTCCCACCCATTCTTTCCCATTTTTTGCTCAGTTTCTCCCATTTTTTCCCCATTTTCTCCCATTTTTTCCCCATTTTCCCCATTTTTCCCGTTTTTCCCAATTTTCCCGTTTTTTCCCCCATTCCAGCTCCCCGTGGACGACCCCATCATCTCCCAGGACGAGGTCATTTTCCCTCTCACCGTGGCCCTGGACCGGCTCCCGCCCGGCACCGCCAAGGCCAAGGTGGGGACACTGGGGACACCTTGGGGACACCTTGGGGACACTTTGGGGACATTGGGGATGGGAGGGGACACCTTGGGGACATTGGGGCAGGGAGGGGACAGCGCGGTGACCTTGGGGACACCTTGGGGACACTTTGGGGACATTGGGGCGGGGAGGGGACAGCGCTGTGACCTTGGGGACACCTTGGGGACATTGGGGACATTGGAGATGGGAGGGGACAGCGCTGTGACCCTGGGGACACCTTGGGGACACTTTGGGGACACTGGGGCAGGGAGGGGACAGCTCGGCGACCCCGGGGACCCCTCGGTGACGCCGTGGTGTCCCCTTGGTGTCCCCAGATCGTGGTGACCGTGTGGCAGCGGGACACGGAGCCGCCGGAGCTGCAGGAGGGGACAGGGACAGGGCCAGGCCAGGGGACAGGGACAGGGACAGGGACGGTGACAGGGACAGGGACAGGGACAGGGCCAGGGGGGTACCTGAGGCTGCTCCAGGGCCGCGCCCCCGGCCAGGTGTTCCGCCAGCAGCACGGGGCCTTCAAGGCACAAGGTGAGGTCACCAAAGTGTCACCTCCCCCCCTCTGGTGTCCCCAAGTGTCCCCTGGGTGTCCTTTCCCCTGTGGGTGCCACCCCTGAGTGTCCCCTCAGTGCCACCCCAGGATATCCCCACGGGGCCTTCAAGGCACAAGGTGAGGTCCCCAAGTGTCCCCAAAGTGTCACCTCCCCTTCTTCAGTGTCCCCAAGTGTCCCCTGGGTGTCCTGTCCCCTGTGGATGCCACCCCTGAGTGTCCCCTCAGTGCCACCCCAGGATATCCCCACGGGGCCTTCAAGGCACAAGGTGAGGTCACCAAAGTGTCACCTCCCCCCCTCTGGTGTCCCCAAGTGTCCCCTGCGTGTCCCCTCCCCAATGGTGCCACCCCCAGGTGTCCCCTCAGGGCCACCCCAAACCCCTCAGGGACCCCCAGGGATTGTCCCCAACCCCGACTTGGGGACACTTCTGGTGCCACCAAGGCAGGACAAGGTCCCTTGGCCCAGCCTGGTGGCCCTGCCTGGCTGTCCCCAAGTGTCCCCGGGTGTCCCCTCCCCTGTGGGTGCCACCCCGGAGTGTCCCCAAGTGTCCCCTCAGTGTCACCCCAGGTGTCCCCAGGCCACCCCAAACCCCTCAGTGCCCCCCAGGGATTGTCCCCAACCCCGACCTGGGGACACTTCTGGTGCCACCAAGGCAGGACAAGGTCCCTTGGCCCAGCCTGGTGGCCCTGCCTGGCTGTCCCCAAGTGTCCCCTGGTGTCCCCAAGTGTCCCCTCAGTGTCACCCCAGGTGTCCCCAGGCCACCCCAAACCCCTCAGTGCCCCCCAGGGATTGTCCCCAACCCCGACCTGGGGACACTTCTGGTGCCACCAAGGCAGGACAAGATCCCTTGGCCAAGCCTGGTGGCCCTCGATTGTTGTCCCCAAGTGTCCCCAAGTGTCCCCTGGTGTCCCCACAGTGTCCACGCTGCTGACGGTGCTGCCACCCCCCCGCGTGCGCTGCCGCCAGGTGACCGTGTCCGGCAAGTACCTGACCGTGCTCAAAGGTGACAGCTGGGGACAGCTGGGGACACCGGGGGGGTTGGGGACATTGGGGGGGCTTGGGAACAGCCTGGGGACACCTTGGGGACACTGGGGGACACTTGGGGACACTGGGGGGAGACCTGGGGATGATATGGGAGCATGTGGGTACACTTTGGGGACACCTGGGGATGCTTGGGGCACCTTGGGGTCACCTGGGGACAATGTGGGGGCATCTGGGAGCACTTGGGGACACGTTGGGGACACTTGGGGACACTTGGGGACACTGGGAGACACCTTGGGGACACCTGAGGGACACCGGGGGACAGCATGGAGAGACCTTGGGGACACTGTGGGGACACTGGGGACACCATGAGGACCTTGGGGACAATGTGGGGACCTTGGGGACACTGTGGGGGCATCTGGGAGCACTTGGGGACACGTTGGGGACACTTGGGGACACCTTGGGGACAGTGGGGGACACTGGGGTGAGACCTGGGGACAATGTGAGAACATGTGGGTACGCTTTGGGGACGCCTTGGGGACACTTGGGGCACCTGGGGACACTGTGGGGGCATCTGGGAGCACCTGGGGACACCTTGGGGACAGCTGCGGGACAAGGTGGGGACACCTGGGGACAATGTGAGAACATGTGGGTACGCTTTGGGGACGCCTTGGGGACACTTGGGGCACCTGGGGACACTGTGGGGACACCTGGGGACACCCTGAGACACCTGGGGGACAGCTGGGGACACTGGGGACATCTGGGGGTGACCTGGGACGGCTGGGGACAGCATGGGGAGACCTTGGGGACAATGTGGGGACTCCTCAGGGAAGGGAAGAGAACTTGGGGACAACGTGGGGACCATGGGGATGCCATGAGGACCTTGGGGACAGTGAGGGGACCTTGGGGACAATGTGGGAGACTTTGGAGATGGGAGGGGACCTTGGGAACAGTGAGGGGACCTTGGGGACAATGTGGGGACCTTGGGGACACCATGAGGACCTTGGGGACAATGTGGGAGACTTTGGAGATGGGAGGGGACCTTGGGGACAGTGAGGGGACCTCAGGAACGGGAGAGAACTTTGGGGACAACGTGGGGACACCGTGGGGACCTTGGGGATGTGACCCGTCCCCTGAGCGTCCCCGCTGTCCCCTGAGTGTCCCCGCTGTCCCCTGAGCGTCCCCGCTGTCCCCCGCAGCCACCACTCCGGGGAGGTCCCCGTGGGGGCGTTCTGCCGCGTCCCCGGGTGCCACTCGGGGTGGCCGTGTCCCCTGAGCGCCCTGGAGGAGCAGAACTTCCTGTTCCAGCTGCAGGCGCCCGAGCGGCCGCCCTGCGACACCAAGGAGGTGAGGGGACACCTGGGGACACCATGGTGGCCTTGGGGACACCTGGGGACAGCCAGCCAGGGCCACCAGGCTCGGCCAAGGGGACTTTTTCTACCTGGGTGGCACCAAAAGTGTCCCCAAGTTGGGGCTGGGGACAATCCTTGGGGGTATTTGGGGGGTTTGGGACACTTGGGTGGCCTTGGGGACATTGGGAGGGCCTTGGGGACACCTGGGTGGCCTTTGGGACACTTGGGGACAACGATCGAGGGCCACCAGGCTCGGCCAAGGGGCTTTGTCCCACCTTGGTGGCACCAAAAGTGTCCCCAAGTCGGGGTTGGGGGCAGTTCTTGGGGGTATCTGGGGGGTTGAGGACACCACGGTGGCCTTGGGGACACCTGGGGACAACAATCGAGGGCCACCAGGCTCAGCCAAGGGGACTTGTCCCACCTTGGTGGCACCAGAAGTGTCCCCAGGTAAGGGTTGGGGACAATCCCTGTTGGTATTTGGGGGTTGGAGACACCTGGGGACACTTGGGGTGGCCTTGGGGACACTTGGGGTGGCCTCGGGGACAACAATCAAGAGCCACCAACCCCATCCAAGCCCCCCGAGATGCCACCAACCCCCCTTGGCCGTGCTGTCCCCAGGCTTGGTGACAATCCCCGTTGTCCCCGGTGGCCCTGGGCACGCCGGGGACACGGCGGCCAGCGCGGGTGACAGCGCGGTGACAGCGCGGTGACAGCGGTGTCCCCAAGCAGGGCCTGGAGGTGCCGCTGGTGGCCGTGGTCCGGTGGTCGACACCGAAGCTGCCGTTCACCAACAGCATCGTCACCCACTACCGGTGAGTGTCACCCGCCGTCCCCTCGGTGTCACCTCGGTGTCCCCAGGGCCGCCAGAGCCTCCTGTGGTGCCACCACCTCGGTGTCACCTCGGTGTCACCTCATTGTCCCCGTGTCCTTCCATCCTCAGAGCGTTTTTTGGTTCTTTTCTGGACTTTCCCGCGATGCCACCTCGATGTCCCCAATGTCCCCATGATGTCCCCAAGCCCCCCAGACCCTCCTTGTTGCCCAGAGCCACCTCTGGATGTGCCACCACCTCATGGTCCCAGTGCCACCACGTCCCCAGAGCTCTCTGGGGCTGTCCCCGTGATGCCACCTCAGTGTCCCCAATGTCCCCATGATGTCCCCAAGCCCCCCAGACCCTCCTGGTGGCCTCTCCATGTGCCACCACCTCCTGTCCCCTCATTGTCCCCTCATGGTCCCAGTGCCACCACGTCCCCAGAGCTCTCTGGGGCTGTCCCCGTGATGCCACCCCGGTGTCCCCAATGGCTCAGCCAAGGGGACTTGTTCTACCTTGGTGGCACAAAAAGTGTCCCCAGGTCGGGGTTGGGGACAGTTCTTGGGGGTATCTGGGGGGTTTGGGACACCATGGTGGCCTTGGGGACACTTGGGGACACCTGGGGACAACGATCCAGGGCCACCAGGCTCGGCCAAGGGGCTTTGTCCCACCTTGGTGGCACCAAAAGTGTCCCCAAGTCGGGGTTGGGGGCAGTTCTTGGGGGTATCTGGGGGGTTGGGGACACCACGGTGGCCTTGGGGACACCTGGGGACAACAATCGAGAGCCACCAGGCTCGGCCAAGGGGACTTGTTCTACCTTGGTGGCACCAAAAGTGTCCCCAAGTTGGGGCTGGGGACAATCCTTGGGGGTATCTGGGGGGTTGGGGACAGCTGGGTGACCTTGGGGACACCTGGGGACAGCCAGCCCGGGCCACCAGGCTGGGCCAAGTGGCTTTGTCCCACCTTGGTGGCACCAAAAGTGTCCCCAAGTCAGGGTTGGGGACAATCCCTGTTGGTATTTGGGGGGTTGGAGACACCTGGGGACACTTGGGGTGGCCTTGGGGACACTTGGGGTGGCCTCGGGGACAACAATCAAGAGCCACCAACCCCATCCAAGCCCCCCGAGATGCCAGGGACAACAATCGAGGGCCACCAGGCTCAGCCAAGGGGACTTGTCCCACCTTGGTGGCACCAGAAGTGTCCCCAGGTAAGGGTTGGGGACAATCCCTGTTGGTATTTGGGGGTTGGAGACACCTGGGGACACTTGGGGTGGCCTTGGGGACACTTGGGGTGGCCTCGGGGACAACAATCAAGAGCCACCAACCCCATCCAAGCCCCCCGAGATGCCACCAACCCCCCTTGGCCGTGCTGTCCCCAGGCTTGGTGACAATCCCCGTTGTCCCCGGTGGCCCTGGGCACGCCGGGGACACGGCGGCCAGCGCGGGTGACAGCGCGGTGACAGCGGTGTCCCCAAGCAGGGCCTGGAGGTGCCGCTGGTGGCCGAGTGTCCCCGTGTCCTTCCATCCTCAGAGCGTTTTTTGGTTCTTTTCTGGACTTTCCCGCGATGCCACCTCGATGTCCCCAATGTCCCCATGATGTCCCCAAGCCCCCCAGACCCTCCTTGTTGCCCAGAGCCACCTCTGGATGTGCCACCACCTCATGGTCCCAGTGCCACCACGTCCCCAGAGCTCTCTGGGGCTGTCCCCGTGATGCCACCCCGGTGTCCCCATGATGTCCCCGATGTCCCCGCTGTCCCCTCAGGCTGCCGAGCATCCGGCTGGAGCGGCCGCGCTTCGTCATGACGGCCACCTGCGAGTCCCCCGTGGTGGCCCTGCAGCGCTTCACTGTCACCTACACCCTGCTCAACGACCTGCAGGACTTCCTGGCCGTCAGGCTGGTCTGGACGCCCGAGGCCACCGCTGGTGGGGACACTGGGGACAACTGGGGACATTGGGGACACTTGGGGACATTGGGGGGATTGGTGACACTGGGGACACTTGGGGACATCGGGGACACTTGGGGACATCGGGGACACTGGGGACATTGGGGACACTTGGGGACATCGGGGACACTGGGGACATTGGGGATGTTGGGACATTGGGGGGATTGGGGACATCGGGGACATTGGGGACACTGAGGGGATTGGGGACATTGGGGGATTGGGACATTAGGGGGATTGGGGACACTGGGGATGTTGGGGACATTGAGGGGACTGGGGACATTTGGGGACATTGGGGGAATTGGGGACATTGGGGGAATTGGGGACATTGGGGACCTGCAGGACTTCCTGGCCATGAGACTCATCTGGACACCTGAGGCCACCGCCGGTGGGGACACCTGGGGACATTGGGGACATTTGGGGACATTGGGGGGATTGGGGACACAAGGAGATGACCCCAACTGGCAACACTCCAAAATTTCCAAAAAATCCCCCAAAATTCCTGCAAATCCCAGAACTCAAAACCCCAAAAAAACACTCCCAAAAAATCTCAAAAAACCCCAAAAATGCTCTAAAAAATCCCCAAAAAACCACAAAAAAATCCCCAAAATTCCAGAAAAATTCCCAAAAATTCCCCAAAAATCCGCAGAGTGTCCGGAACGTTCTGGACTTGCAGGGAAGTCGCGGGGCTCGCTGGACTCCGTGGTGTGCCACATCCCATCAATCCTATAAACCCCAAATTCCCAAATTATCCCCAAAAATTCCCCAAAATTCCCATAAATCCCACACCCCAAACTTCCCATGGGGACATCGAAGGGATTGGGGATGTTGGGGACATCGGGGGGACTGGGGACATGGAGGGGATTGGGGATGTTGGGGACATCTGGGACATGGAGGGGATTGGGGACATTTGGGGACATCAGGGGGATTGGGGACATTGATGACATTGGGGACACTGGGGATGTTGGGGACATTTGGGGACACTGGGGACTTGCAGGACTTCCTGGCTGTCAGGCTGGTCTGGATCCCAAAATTCCTGCAAATCCCAGAACGCAAAACCCCAAAAAACACTCCCAAAAAAATCTCAAAAAACCCCAAAAACGCTCTAAAAAATCCCCCAAAAAACCCAAAAAAACCCCAAAAAATCCCCAAAAAATTCCAGAAAAATTCCTAAAAATTCCCAAAAAATCCCCAAAAATTCCCGGAAATTCCCGGAGTGCCCGGAACGTTCTGGACTTGCAGGGAAGTCGCGGGGCTCGCTGGACTCCGTGGTGTGCCACACGCCGCTTAGAAGTGGGGATGGGGACAAGGGGACAAGGAGAGGACCCCAACTGGCAACACTCCAAAATTCCACAAAAAATTCCCGAAAAAAAACCCCCAAAAAATTTCCCAAAAATTCCGGGAAAATTCCTACAAATCCCAGAATCCAAAACCCAGAAACATCCCAAAAAAAAAAATCTCAAAATATCCCAAAAAATGCTCTAAAAAACCCCCCAAAAATCCCAAAAATTCCCCAAAAAATCTCAAAAATTCCCCAAAAAATCCCAAAAAAATCCCAAAAAATTCCTACAAATCCCAGAACCCAGAACCCAAAACCATCCCCAAAAAAATCTTAAAATATCCCAAAAAATGCTCTAAAAAATCCCCAAAAATCCCAAAAAAACCCCCCAAAAATCCCAAAACTTATCTAGAAATTCCCAAAAAAATCCCCAAAAATTCTGAAAAAATCCCCAAAAATCCCCAAAAATTCCCAAAAATCCGCGGAGTGCCCGGAACGTTCTGGACTTGCAGGGAAGTCGCGGGGCTCGCTGGACTCCGTGGTGTGCCATCTCCCAGTGCCTCCCAGTACCCATCAAACCCCATCCCAGTTCCTCCCAGTGCCCCAAAACTGCCTCCCAGTGCCCCTCAAACCCATCCCAGTCCCTCCCAGTGCCCCTCACACCCATCCCAGTAACTCCCAGTGCCCCTCAAACCCATCCCAGTAACTCCCAGTGCCCCAAAACCCCATCCCAGTAACTCCCAGTACCCCCAAATCCCCTCCCAGCGCCCCGAATTCCCCCCAGCGCTCCCTTCCACTCTCTCCCAGCTCCTCCCAGTGCCCCCCAGTGCCCCTCACACCCATCCACCCCGAATCCGCCGCAGTGCTCCCTCCCAGCTCCTCCCAGCTCCTCCCAGCTCCTCCCAGTGCCCCCCAGTGCCCCTCACACCCCTCCCAGTGCTCCCAGTAACTCCCAGTGTGCCGCAGCTGTCGCAGCACATGAAGCTGAAGCTGCAGTTCACGGCCAGCGTGAGCAGCGCCCCGGCCGAGGCGCGCCCCGTGTCCCGCCGCAGCAGCCCCAGCTCCCCGGCCGTGCGCGAGCTCGTGGCCGGCCTGGGCCGCTCCCAGTCCTTCTCCCACCAGCAGCCCGCCCGCAGCCACCTCATGAGGTACTGGGAGCACTGGGAGGGGACTGGGATAAGGTTTGGGGGCACTGGGAGGGCACTGGGAGGGACTGGGAGGGACTGGGATTTGGTTTGGGGGCAGTGGGAGGGACTGGAGGGACTGAGATTGGGTTTGGGGGCACTGGGAGGGATTGGGGACTGGGATTGGGTTTGGGGGCAGTGGGAGGGGCTGTAATGAGGATTTAGGGGTACTGGGAGGGACTGGGATTGGGTTTGGGGGCACTGGGAGGGATTGGGAGGGACTGGGATAAGGATTTGGGGGTACTGGGGGGCACTGGGATTGGGTTTGGGGGCACTGGGAGGGAGTGGGAGTTACTGGGATGAGGATTTGGGGATACTGGGAGGGACTGGGATAAGATTTTGGGGCACTGGGAGTTACTGGGATGGGGTTTGGGGGCACTGGGGGGACTGGGATGAGGATTTGTGGTTACTGGGAGGGACTGGGATGTGACAAGGACACTGGGGGTGACACGGGGAGGTGCCACCGCCGCCTTGGGTGACACAGGTGACAATGTAGGTGACACAAGGGGTGACACTGGGACACTGTAACTGACACAGGTGACACACAGGTGACACGGCTGTCCCCAATGTCACTGTCCCCAGGTCTGGCAGTGTGATGGAGCGCAGGGCCATCACGCCCCCCGTGGGGTCCCCCGTGGGCCGCCCCCTGTACCTGGGGTGACACTGGGTGACACAGGGGCACTGTGGGTGTTATAGGTGACACTGAGGTGACACTGCTGTCACTGTCCCCAGGTCTGGCAGTGTGATGGAGCGCAGGGCCATCACGCCCCCCGCAATGGGGGGACACTGGGGGACAGCGAGGGGACATTGAGGGGACAGTGGAGGGACAGTGTGGGGACAGTGGGGGGACACTGGGGGGGGACAATGAGGGACAGTGAGGGGACAATAAGGGGACAGTGGGGACAGTGCTGGGACCTTGGGGACATCTTGGGGACACCACTGGGACGGCACTGGGGTGGCACTGGACACTGCTGGGACACTGGGGACAGCTTGAGGACACTGTGGGGACAGCTTGGGGACAGCATTGGGACAGTGGGGATGGTGCCAGGGCACTGGGGACAGCTTGGGGACACCGTGGGGACTCTGTGGGGACATGGCCAGAGTGGCAGGGATGGCTCTGGGACATTGGGGACAGGGGGACAATGGGGACAGGGCCACCCCCAGTGTCCCCAGAGCCTCAGGGCCACTTCCAGGACCTTGGGGACATTGGGGACAGGGACCAAGGGGACAGGGCCACCCCCAGTGCCACCTTGGGGACATTGCGGACAATGGGGACAATGGGGACAGGGCCATCCACAGTGTCCCCAGTCAGGGACAGGGACCAAGGGGACAGAGCCACCCCCAGAGCCTTGGGGACACTTTGGGGACAATGGGGGGGGTCGCTGCCACTGCCACGTGCCATGGAGGGGACCTTGGGGACACCTTGGGGACACGGCCTGGAGCCGTGCCTGCGTTGGGGGTTTTGGGGACATTTGGGGACATCGGGGAAGTGACCCCGAGCCGGAGCGGGGGAGGGGCCCGCAGTGCCACCCCCGCGTTGGGGACGTTGGGGACAAGGGTGGCACCTCTGTCCCTGTTATTTATTGCCAATAAAGAGACCTGGATGTCACCTGCTGTCACCTGGAGGGTCGGGATGTCACCTGGGGTGGCCTGGATGTCACCTGATGCCACCCAGATGTCCCCAAGGGTGGCCTGGATGTCCCCAGGGGGGTCATGGATGTCCCCAAGGGTGACCTGAATGTCACTTGATGCCACCTGAATGTCATGTGGTGTCACCTGGATGTCACCAGGGGTGTCCTAGATGTCCCCAAGGGGACCTGGATGTCCCCAGGGGTGGCCTGGATGTCCCCAGGGGTGTCCTAGATGTCACTTGATGCCACCTGGATGTCCCCAAGGGGACCTGGATGTCACTTGATGCCACCTGGATGTCACGTGCTGCCACCCGGATGTCCCCAGGGGTGGCCTGGATGCCACCCGGATGTCCCCAAGGGGACCTGGATGTCACTGGATGTCCCCAAGGGTGACCTGGATGCCACTTGATGCCACCCGGATGTCCCCAGGGGGTCAGATGGATGTCCCCAGGGGTGGCCTGGATGCCACCACCCCCAGTGGGAACCTTTGGGGCCATTTTGGGGACACTTGGTGCCATTTTGGGGCCATGTGGGGACACTTTGGGGCCATTTAAGGACATTTTGGGGCCATTTAGGGACACTTTGGGGCCATTTGGAGCTGTTTTGAGGCCGTTTTGGTGCCATTTTGAGCCCTTTGGGGCCGTTTTGGTGCCATTTTGGGCCACTTAGCGCCACTTTAGGGCCATTTAGAGCCACTTGGGGCCATTTAGGGACACTTTGGTGCCATTTTGGGTCACTTAGCGCCACTTTAGGGCCATTTAGGGACACCTGGGGCCACTTGGGGACACTTTGAGGCCATTTTGATGCCATTTTGGGGCCATTTGGGGCCACTTTGGTGCCATTTTGGGCCACTTAGCGCCACTTTGGGGCCATTTAGGGACACTTTGGGGCCATTTGGAGCTGTTTTGAGGTTGTTTGGGGGCCATTTTGAGTCCTTTGGGGCCATTTTGGGACACTTTGGGGACACCTGGGGACGCTTTGGGGCCATTTGGGGACATTTAGGGTCAATTTGATGCCATTTTGGGCCACTTAGTGCCACTTTGGTGCCATTTTGGGCCACTCTGGTGCCATTTTGGGCCACTTAGCGCCACTTTGGGGCCATTTAGGGACACCTGGGGCCACCCGGGCTCACCCGAGAGGCGGCGGAAGGGCGGCTCGTGGCCGCGGGGCAGGCGCAGCCCCAGGGCCGTGGCCACCAGGCCCTGCAGCACGGCCGCCGTGCGCTCGTCGTTCTCCAGGTCCCCCGAGGACTGCGGAGGCAAAATTCCCAGTTTGGGATCCCCAAATCCGGGAATTCTCGGGGGAAAATCCCCCAAAAAAATGTGGGAACCCAGGGGGAAAAAATCCCAAAAATTGGGGGAACCCAGGGGGAAAAATCCCAAAAATTGGGGGAACCCAGGGGGGAAAAATCCCAAAAATTGGGGGAACCCAGGGGGAAAAAATACCAAAAAATTGAAAAAAAATGACCCAAAAAAGGAACTGGGAAACCCCAAATATTCCCTGAATTCCCAGTTTGGGATCCCCAAAATCCGGGAATTCTCGGGGGAAAATCCCAGAAAAATTGGGGGAGGGACCAGTGTGAACAAGTATGGACCAGTATAAACCAGTATAAACCGGTACGGACCAGTACGGACCAGTATGGACCAGTATGGACCAGTATGGACCGGTATGGACCGGTATGGACCGGTACGGACCAGTACGGACCAGTATGGACCAGTATAAACTGGTACAGACCAGTACAAGCCACTATAAACCCGTACGGACCAGTGCGGACCAGTGCGAACCAGTATGGACCGGTACGGACCAGTAATAAACCAGTACGGACCAGTACGGACCAGTAATAAACCAGTATGGACTAGTATAAACCGGTATGGACCAGTGCGGGCCGGGATCATCCCAGTAAGCGCCAGTAACACCCAGAGGGTCCCCCCCACTGCCCCCCAGTCCCTCCCAGTCCCTCCCAGTCTCTCCCAGTTCCCCATCCCAATTCTCACCATAGCGACGCTCGCCCGCTTCCTCTTCCGGTCACGTGACCCGCCCTCAGTGCCCGCCCCACCTCCTCATTGGTTCGAGGCTTTTCTCGCCCGCCAATCGTGGCCAGCTCCATGGTCACGTGGTTAAAGGGGGGGTGAACTCGATGATTCGGCGGGCCGGAAGTGACGCTCAGTCCTCCAGCGCTCATCTCTATGGTTTCCGCCGTAAAACCGGAAGTTCCGCTCAGTCCTCCAGCGTTTCTCTCGATGGTTCTTCCGCAGCCCCGGAAGTGACGCTCAGTCCTCCAGGGCGCGTCTCTATCGCCCCTCAGTCCTCCAGCTCCGCCCCCGAGCTCCCAAAACGCCGAAATTTGGGCAAAACGGCCCAAAAAGGCTTCAAAAAATGGGAATTCCCCTCCCCCCGGCCTCCGGGCGGCCTCTGCCGCCATGATGACCACAGGCCCACAGGGGGCCATTGCCATGGCCACGCCCACCCCACAGTGGCCACGCCCACCCCACCAGCGGCCAATAGCCAGCTCCTGGTGGCCACCAGCCCCACGTGACCACTGTCACGGTGACCACGCCCACCCCGATGGTAGCCACGCCCATCCGTGATAGCCACGCCCACCCCGTGGCAGTCACGCCCATTCTGACGGTAGCCACGCCCATATTTAGGGTAGCCACGCCCACCCCCGCGGTAGCCACACCCACCCCATGCCGGCCACGTCTGCCTTAACAGTGGCCACGCCCGTCCTGATGGTGGCCACGCCCACCCCACGGTGGCCACGCCCATTCTTCTGGCAGCCAGGACCACTCCCATGGTGGCCACGCCCACCCAGTTTGCCACGCCCATTCCTTTAGTAGCCACACCCACCCCAATTTCAACCACGCCCATTCCCATGCCAACAACGCCCAGCCCACACAAACCACGCCCACCCCACATTAACCCCACTCTTGTCACGCCCACCCTGCATTAACCACGCCCATTTCACATTAACCACGCCCTCCCCGAGCTATCCCCGCCCACCCCACATTAATCCCAATTCTCACCATAGCGACGCTCGCCCGCTTCCTCTTCCGGTCACGTGACCCGCCCTCAGTGCCCGCCCCACCTCCTCATTGGTTCGAGGCTTTTCTCGCCCGCCAATCGTGGCCAGCTCCATGGTCACGTGGTTAAAGGGGGGGTGAACTCGATGATTCGGCGGGCCGGAAGTGACGCTCAGTCCTCCAGCGCTCATCTCTATGGTTTCCGCCGTGAAACCGGAAGTTCCGCTCAGTCCTCCAGCGTTTCTCTCGATGGTTCTTCCGCAGCCCCGGAAGTGACGCTCAGTCCTCCAGGGCGCGTCTCTATCGCCCCTCAGTCCTCCAGCTCCGCCCCCGAGCTCCCAAAACGCCGAAATTTGGGCAAAACGGCCCAAAAAGGCTTCAAAAAATGGGAATTCCCCTCCCCCCGGCCTCCGGGCGGCCTCTGCCGCCATGATGACCACAGGCCCACAGGGGGCCATTGCCATGGCCACGCCCACCCCACAGTGGCCACGCCCACCCCACCAGCGGCCAATAGCCAGCTCCTGGTGGCCACCAGCCCCACGTGACCACTGTCACGGTGACCACGCCCACCCCGATGGTAGCCACGCCCATCCGTGATAGCCACGCCCACCCCGTGGCAGTCACGCCCATTCTGACGGTAGCCACGCCCATATTTAGGGTAGCCACGCCCACCCCCGCGGTAGCCACACCCACCCCATGCCGGCCACGTCTGCCTTAACAGTGGCCACGCCCGTCCTGATGGTGGCCACGCCCACCCCACGGTGGCCACGCCCATTCTTCTGGCAGCCAGGACCACTCCCATGGTGGCCACGCCCACCCAGTTTGCCACGCCCATTCCTTTAGTAGCCACACCCACCCCAATTTCAACCACGCCCATTCCCATGCCAACAACGCCCAGCCCACACAAACCACGCCCACCCCACATTAACCCCACTCTTGTCACGCCCACCCTGCATTAACCACGCCCATTTCACATTAACCACGCCCTCCCCGAGCTATCCCCGCCCACCCCATACTAACCACGCCCATGCCACACTAACCACGCCCACCCCGCTCTAACCACGCCCCCTCCCGCTCCCCCCGGCGCAGGGGGCGTGGCCAGGCGGGGGGCGGGGTCTCAGCCGGGTTTATTCCGCGCCTCAGCACGGGGGGGTCACAGGTTACTCACTGCTTACTCACTGCTCACTGCTCACTGCCCACGCACAGGGAGAGACAGCGCCGTCAGACCGCTACTCACAGGATACTCACAGGTTACTCACTGCCTACTCACTGCCCGCGCACAGGGAGAGAGCGCTGTCAGACTGCTGCTCACAGGTTACTCACAGGTTACTCACAGGTTACTGCTAACTCACTGCTCACTGCCCGCGCACAGGGAGAGAGCGCCGTCAGACCGCTACTCACGGGTTACTCACAGGTTACTCACTGCCTACTCACTGCCTACTCACTGCCTACTCACTGCCCGCGCACAGGGAGAGACAGCGCCGTCAGACTGCTGCTCACAGGTTACTCACTGCTTACTCACTGCCCACGCACAGGGAGAGACAGCGCTGTCAGACCACTACTCACAGGTTACTCACAGGTTACTCACTGGTTACTCACAGCTAACTCAAAGGTTACTCACTGTCTACTCACTGCCCAAGCACAGGGAGAGAGCGAGCACCTGTCAGCGCGCTACTCACTGCGTACTCACAGGTTGCTCACTGCTTACTCACTGCCTGCACACTGCCCGCACAGGGAGAGAGACAGCGCTGTCAGTGCCTGCTACTCACAGGTTACTCACTGCCTACTCACTGTCCGCGCACAGGGAGAGAGACAGCGCTGCGGGGGCACGCATGGGGGAGGGGTGTGAGCGGGCTGGGGGCACTCTGGGGATACTCCAGGGTTACTCTGGGGATACTCCGCAGTTACGCTGGGATACTCTGGAGCTACTCTGAGGATACGCCTGACTTACTCTGGGCATACTCCAGAGTTACTCTGGGGATACTCAGGAGTTACTCTGGGGTTACTCTGGAGTTACTCTGGGGATACTCCACAGTTACGCTGGGATACTCCGGAGTTACTCTGGGTTTATTCCTAATTCTGGGTGTGTTCCTGCCTTACTCAAGGTTTACTCCTGATTTACTCAGGGCGGGCCTCGCCCACAGAGGAGATCTCCCAGCTGTGCTGCTCCCTCTGAGTATCTCCTCGAGGTACTCCGGAGATACTCCGGGGTTACTCCAGGGTTACTCTTAATGCTCTGGGGATACTCATTTGCTACCCCAGAGATACTCCAGGGTTACTCCAAGGTTACTCCAGGGTTACTCCTGCCTTTCTGCAGGGCTGCATGCACAGGGCTACTCCATGGTTACTCCATGTCTACTCCATGGTTACTCCATGGCTACTCCATGGCTACTCCGTGGATACTCGGACACACCGGAGGTGACTGCGGCTCTGCTCTGGAGTTACTCCGGGGATACTCCTGCCATTAAATACACCTGAGATACTCTGGGCTTACACCAGGGATACTCCGGGCTTACACTGGGGATACTCCGGGCTTACACCTGAGATACTCTGGGAATACTCCAGGGATACTCCGGGCTTACACCGGGGTGCTCTGGCCATGCAAACACCGGCGCTACTCCAGCCTTACTCCAGCCTTACTCCCAGCATGCACCGCGGGGATACTCCAGGGATACTCCAGGTATACTCGGGGGATACTCCACCAAAACACCCCCGAGGGAGGAGGGAGGGGGGATCAAGGGGTAAACTACTCCAGAGTTACACACAGGACGGCAGCGGGACCTACTCCAGCTTTACACCGCAGCTACTCCGCAGAGCCTCAGCCACGGCCCCGCCTCGCGCCTCCCGCCCTGCACCGACGCTACTCCGAGCTTACTCCGAGCTTACTCCGAGCTTACTCCGAGCTTACTCCGAGCTTACTCTGACTTCACTCGGACTTTACTCAGACTTTACTCCGAATTTACACGGACTTTGCTCGAACTTTACTCCCAATTTACTCAGCCTTTATGCTGACTTTACTCGGACTTTAGTCCGAATTCAGTCGCACTTTACTCTGCCTTTACGTGGACTTTACTCTGAATTTACTCCCACTTTACGCTGCCTTTACTCAGACTTTATGCCACCTTTACACAGACTTTACTCCAAATTTACTTGGACTTTATGCTGACTTTACTCCGAACTGACTCAGACGTTACGCTGCCTCGGCGCTGACTTCACTCCGACTAAAATTTACTCAGACTTTGCCCCGACCTTACTCCAACTTCGCTATGACTTTACTCCACCTTTACTCTGACTTTACTCCAACTTTACTCTGACTTTACTCCAACTTTACCCCAACCTTATTCCAACTTCACTATGCCTTTACTTGGACTTTACTCCAACTTTACTATGATTTTACTATGACTTTACTCTGACCTTACTCTGACTTTACTATGATATTACTACTACTTTACTCCATCTTTAGTGTAACGTTACTCTGACTTTACTCCAACTTTACTCTGACTTTACTCCAATGTTACTACTACGTTACTTGGACTTCACTCCAACTTTACTCTGATATTACTACGATTTCACTCAAACTTTGCTATGGTGTTACTTGGACTTTACTCCAAATTACTCCTACCTTACTCCAACTGTCCTATGACTTCACTCCGACTTTCTTCCTACCTTACTCCAACTTTCCTCCTACTTTACTCTAACTTCACTCTGACTTTCCTCCTACCTTACTCTGACTTTCCTCCAACTGTACTACTACTTTACTCAAACTTCACTGACTTTCTTCCTACCTTACTCCAACTTTACTCTGACTTTCCTCCTACCTTACTCTGACTTTCCTCCAACTTTTCTCCTACCTTACTCCGACTTTACTCCAACTTTCCTCCTACCTTACTCCGACTTTACTCCAACTGTACTATCACTTTACTCAAACTTTCCTCCTACCTTACTCCTACTTTACTCCTACTTTCCTCCTACCTTACTCAGACTTCACTCTGCCTCCCCGCAGCCCCGCCCCCCGCGCATTGGCCCCGCCCCGCGGCGCGCGCAGAGCAAGGAGACAGCGGGAGGCGGCGTTGGTCAAACCCCTCTTTAATGGAGCCGTACAGAGCCGAGCGAGGCGGGCGCTACACGGGGCGCCCGCGCCGGGCGCGCCGGCCCTGCCGCCGCTTACCCTTGTGCAGCACGGCGTTGGCCGGCTTGTTGCCCGCCAGCGACTCCTTGGACAAGTGCTGGTGGCTCTCGGCCAGGCACTCGACCTCGGCGAAGCGCGTGTTCAGGGCCATGGCGGGGTGGCTGGGGTCCTGCGTCATGTTCAGGTAGGCGGCGCGGCGCAGCTGCTCCTCGATCACCAGCGCCTGCTCCAGCAGCTGCGGGGGGACGCGGCGTCAGCGGGGCAGCGGGAGACCCACGGGTGGGGGGTCCGGGGGGTGG